CTTCAACTCCCAGAACCCCCCAGCCAGCTGGCTGGGGGATTCTGGGAGTTGAAGTCCACAGGACTTAAAGTTGCCAAGGTTAAGAAACACTGCTCTAGTCTTTTCTTAAAAGCCTCTAGCAACTGGGCACCTACATAAGTAAACACAGAAGCAGGTTCCACCAAACCTTTCATAATCCATCAACAGTTTCAACTAATGCAACTTCAAATATGATAGATCTTCTTCAATCGTAAGAGAATTTATGTATTTGTAAGAAATGAAAAAGGAAGTATCATTTTTTTTCCAAAATAGTGAATAATTATCTTGAGGTTAGCCCTCCCAACTCATATTTCTTTCAGCTGATTTCTTTCTATTGACAAAACAAATCTGATCTATCCTATAGAAATTCAAAAGGGTCCTCATTTTACCCACCTCGGAAGGATGGAAGGCTGAGTCAACCCTGAGCCGGTGAGATTTGAACAGCCGAACTGCAGAATTGCAGTCAGCTAAAGTAACCTGCAGTGCTGCATTTAACCACTGCGCCACCTCGGCTCTAGTTCAATAATAGCTGGTGGGCTACCATTCCTCATTCTTTTCTTTTAATTCTGGAAAAATCACCACAAGGGATTTTTAAAAAATATTCTGTGATGTTGAATTTAACTGGATTTCACACATCGCGAGCTGCTTTTTGCCACATTACAATAATGAGTGTGTGATCATGATAGCCAGTGTGGTTATTTGCCTAACAGACTCTTGTGGGGCTAAACCTTTATCCACTAGCCTGAAAAGCTCATTTCAAATGGGTTGTCGGCAATTATTTTCTAAGAGGAGTCTGAATTAGTCTCCTAATTCATGCAAGATCGGTGTTAAGAAGACGCACCCTGCATTCCTACATAAAAAACATAAGATCTCTATGAGATTGATCATTCAACCAAATTGCATCCTGTTTCATGCAGAGGCCCATCAAATCCTTCTGCAAAGCTCTTCACTTTGGCTCAGCTTTTTCCCATTCCCAAATTCCTCATGTGATGCTTCCAACTTGTCTCCACCCCCAAATCTAATTTTGCAATTTACCCTGGGATGGTTGCCCATGTAACAACCTTGCTTTCCCCCCCCCCAGTTTCTGTTTTCTGTCCTCCCTCCAAAATCTTGGTGAGATATGTGGCTTCAAATGGTCTTGCCATTTTTGGCTACAATTTCCTCAGCATAGAAAAAAGAATATGAACTTGGTCTAGGAAAAGTTAGTCTAATATATTTGCCTCACGAGTTAGATAACAAAATGACCAAATCTACATTGGGAAGTGCAGCACAGACTGGGTGTGACACACTCTAATATTTTGTCCCTTCTTCAGCATCTAATATCTGAGACAACTAACTCATTATGCCTAAAGGGAAGGCCAGCTCTTGTCTCAAGTTTTCAGAATATACTATTAATTTAATATAGTAACTAACATAAACTTCATATTCCATTTTAAGCTCTAAAAGTTTCTAGAAAGACTACCCAGAACTGGACTTCTTACATTAACCTTTCTCAAAAAAGAAATATTTGCAGACCTCAAAATGTTTTTCTCAATGTAATAGTTTTTGTATTGATATGTCAGCAATCCTTTTTGCTCTCTGAAAGTTGTTTGGCTGTCACTACTGTAATTTATTGCCTCATCTGCAATCCAATCCTGTCTAATCAGAAATAAATCTTATTAAATGGAAATAGTCCAAGTTCGGTTTACAAATTGCTAAATGTAACCTAAAGAACCCAACAGGCTCCAGGCCTTATTTTCCTAAATTAAGCTAGTTTTATATTGACCTAACATTTCTATACGATTTTTCATTTCTTATATCAGAGGCTAATGCCATAATAACATAGGAAAACATAATTATTTGAATTGATTCTTTCGTATTTTTTGAGCTCTTTAGATAGAAACATCAGTATGCCTCATAAAATACCCAATCTCAAATTGCAATCCTATCCTGCAATCCTATCACATATTAATTTTTCACAAATTCAAATAAAATGCTTCCTGCTGATCTTCCATATGTAAGTAGTGCCATAATCAGAAATTATACACCACGTTTTCACATCTAAGTTAGAAAACACAAACAGAGGTCACTTCCGGCTGTAAAAGTACAATTTAGAAACAATACTTCTGTCCAATGTTTGGTGAGGTAGTACAAGCTGCACTCACTTTTCAGAGGGCAGCTAATACTACTTCATCATCCACTATTACATTTTAGATTTTCCCTGTGGAAAATATAAACTGTAGAAAAGTCTGAGTATTTTTCAGAAGAAAATGCTGTAGATGCTATTATTGCTATACCTTCATCCTTTTTGAAAGATATTTTAACCTGAACAACAGGTGTTCCAGCTAATTGATCTTGCTTAAGTCCCTCACTGCTACCACTCAGAAAGACTTCAGTAAGGCTCTGTAACATTAAAACTAGTTTGGTCTAGTGATTAAAGCACCAGACTAGAAACCAGGAGACTGTGAGTTCTAGTCTCACCTTAGACATGAAAGCCAATTGGGTGAATTTGGGTGAGTCTTGGCCCTCAAAATTAGCTTGGGTGACATGCCAGTTAGTCCACAACCAATGAAAAAAAGTGGAACCTGCACTTGTGGGAAAACACTAGGGTACAACATAATACCAAGTATGTGGACATTCATAATGGCTTTCATATAAAGGTTTTAGGGCAGCAATGGTGAACCTTTTTTGGCTCGCGTGCCATAAGCGGAGGAAACAAAGGGGGCTCATGCGCAGGTGTGCTGCACCCATAATGCAATGTGCAACACCCCCCAGCGTACATGCGCGCATGACAGGCGCTCCCCTGTTTTCCCCCTCCCCAGGTTCCTATAAAGCCTCTGAAGCCTGGGGAGGGTGAAAAAGACTGAAGTCAGCTGGCCAGCACATGCATGCGCACTGGCCAGATGACAGAGCAATGCCTTGCTTGCCCTGAGAAGTTATGCAGTGTGAAGTAAGGTGGCTCCGTGTGCCACCTATGGCACGTGTGCCATAGGTTCGCCATCCCGGTTATAGTGTTTACTTTGCCTGAGTGGCCATAATCATGATTGCAGTCACTGAAGACTATAGTTCACACCCTGGTTATAGAGTTTCTGTGACCCAAGGACATTCATTTAAATTTTTAAACATCAATTTCCCCTTACCTTCACTTTTCACAGAATAGTATTAGAAGGCTTTTCCTTCCTTTGAAATTACTGGCTAAATGTGGACTAATAAAATACACATATTATGAGTGGAGAGGCGGTGGCTAGTAATTTACTCAATTTTTGTGGCAAAAAGATGAACAGATTTTTATTACTTCACACTGCATAACTGCAGTGAAACAGTGTTTGATGTTTTCTGACAATTTTACGCAAATAAAAATATAGACATGCTCATGATTATGTTGTTAGGAATATCAGCATATATTTGAAAAGATACAAATGACTCAGAAGTATTCAGCATTAATTTCAACATAAATGACAAAGAAAAAAATAGTTAGCTTGGCAGTCTGGCAAGTCTCATATAAAAATAGCAGTATTCTCAACAGTGTGTAAAATGTATTGTAAATCGACTTCTAATTTATCACAGAAGAGTAATCAATGAGCAGCACTAGAAACCACCTCTCTAGAAGAAACCAGAATAATTTTTAATGTGCCCCTCCCCCCCATTCCATTCAATTGTGGAGACTGTGTGGACAAGTCCCTACTTTCTTCTTGGCAAGGTTTTTCAGAAGGTTTGCCATTACCTCTTTCCTAACGCTGAGAGAAAGTGACTGGCCAAAAATTGGACTAGAACTCATGGCCTCCTGATTTCTAGCTCAATGTCTTCACCATTATACCAGACTGGCTCTCCTGCTTTCTCTAAAATGAGTCTCAAAGTCTGCCGTTAAAAGGCAGATTATCTTTCCTTGCCCATCAATAAGGTCACATCAAGTGCTGACCAAAATATTGGTCTGTTATAATGTGTGGTGCACAGACCAAGTTTTCCTCCGTCCCTCAGTGACATTCATACCAAAGTGATTTTTATCTTCTAAAATTGGAATTGATGTGATGCATTAGACAAGAGAACGAACTGGAAAGTCCAGTTAAAATCTCATTTTCCTCCTACATAATAAGTGTTTGATCTTGAGCAAGTCAGAATTCTTCAGCCTCAGAGGCAGCCAGTGGCAAACATCGTCTGGAGAGAGGCTGAAAAGTCTTTACCAATTATAGCAGACAGTAACTGCATTAACTGAATGCACAGCATATGCACTAAGACCCAAAAGCCAAAAGGATTTTTTTAAAAGGCAATAGAAAAGAGGTATTACGCTACTGCCTGAAAGCAAGCATATTCATCAGCAGTAGCTTTTATAATTTTTCTGAATGGCAATGATTGCAGTTACATTCCAACTGTGAAGGCTGCTTTAACAAGCTCAGACAATGGCTTCGGAGAACACTCCATGTCCTGAAACGCTTAACAATGTTTCTTACCTGTGGGGTCCACCCTCCGATGACATACAGCCTGTTTTTCACAGTAACAACTGCATGGCAAGCCAACGGCACTGGGAGCGGGGCCAAAGTTCTCCAGTTCTCCTGCTCCATGGAGTATTTCTCCACAATATTGGTAATTTGATATTGGTTTTTCAGTTTCATTTGACCTCCTAGGATGTACAAATCACAATGGATGGTGCCTAAAGCATACAATTCACGAAACTGCGCTGTGCACAGGCTTTCCCAAAATCGATTTCCATGACCTTCATACCTGTAATGAATCATCATATTAGAATTTCTTTCATCATAGTTACCTATGTATTTGTACCTAACTTTCTCTACTCAAGTACAGCTATTATTCTTAAGTGGGATCAACATGGAGTTAAAAAAGACCTTTAATTTTCACTAAAGTCCAATGGCACAAATTGGCACATCTTTTCAAATGCTATGATTTTATAGAAGTAATTTTTCTGGATGTGAAAGATGTGGAGTCTCTAGAAAGAGTGCAGATAAGAGCAATAAAGATGATTAGGGGACTGGAGGCTAAAACATATGAGAAACGGTTGCAGGAACAGGGTATGTCTAGTTTAATAGAAAGAAGGACTAGGGGAGACATGATGGCAGTGTTCCAATATCTCAAGTGATGCCACAAAGAAGAGAGAGTCAAGCTATTCTCCAAAGCACCTGAGGGCAGGAAAAGAAGCAATGAATGGAGACTAATCAAGGAGAGAAGCAACTTAGAACTGAAGAGAAATTTCCTGACAGTTAGAACAATTAATCAGTGGAACAGCTTGCTTCTAAAAGTTGTGAATGCTCCAACACTGGAAGTCTTTAAGAAGATGTTGGATAGCCATTTGTCTGAAATGGTGTAGGGTTTCCTGCCTAGGCAGGGGGTTGGACTAGAAGACCTCCAAGGTCCCTTCCAACTCTGCTATTGTATTGTATTGAATATTATCCTGTTTCCCCCTCCATCCTTATGTTTGGAGACATAACTGCCTGCTTTCCCCAATTATTTTAGCCTTGATCAATCATTGTTATCAGAGAAGTACTTGAATATTAGGAGTACAACAGAAAATGTCTTTCACTATTGGCTAATCAGTATCCACTCACCATCCTCAAAATATTCTGTTTGCTTCCTATCCTCTCTCCATGTGAATAAATATATTAATTAATCAGAGCAGCTATAGTCAGGTTAACCCACCAAGATCTTATGTCACCATAGTAAGAGCTGAATTATGCTAAAAATATTCTGTTAAAAAAATTATTTGGGGCATATCTAGGGACATTACCACCATTAAGAAATTGAGTCAAGTCAGGAAAGGAAATTTCTTGCTAGAAAATCTCTTTGTTACTATTATTTAATATCATCATTATTATTTAATTTATTTGCTGCCCATCTTGCGGTTCGAGGTGACTATTTCCTTTGCTTGTTATTTTTTTTTCATTAAAAAGGCAAAATCTGACTTAGTAATGCATATGTATATTCTTAGAAGCGCAATCCTAACCAAATGTATTTCAAGCAATTTTCCTAAAGTTTAGTAGGATCTATGGCCAGAACTATATTTTTCATTTTCATTCAATGTTAACAGAGGCACCACTGAATGAAAACACTGTAGATATAGGTTTTTATTGTCCCCAGGACTGAATAAGGGCAAAATAACTCCAGAAGGAAAGAAGTTGCTTATAGCATTATATCTGGCACCTAGAGGGTGCTATAGACCTTGCCATTGTGGCATTAATGAATGAGCAAACACCTAATTGCTTCATTCCCAACCTGAAATAACTCAGCTTGAGAGACCGGTTTTAAATATGTAGATATAATATATGCTCTATTCAGTCAATTTAGAAGCCAATGAAATGTTTATAAAACAGGATTCCATCCAACCATTAAAAATATTCCACAAGAACTTCATCCCTTTACAATGCCTTTTAACTTTGCAAACATAATTTATAAAGTTGGATGATGATTTAGAATTGTCCAAAACTTTTTTGCATTTATTTAAGATTGTCTTCCATTATTATAACTGATCTAGGACCCAAAGGAAGATTCTTCATTGGTTAACATTGATGTCAGTAGTTCTATCATAGGCTTAAAGGAAAAGTTTTAAATCATACAGCACCAGAGGTGGATTGCTCCTGGTTCAGCCCAGATTGGGCGAACCGGTAGTGGTGGCAGCTGGAGGCTCCACCCACCCACCCAGATGCTTCTGCACATGTACAGAAATGTTATGCAAGCGAGTGAACTGGTAGTAAAAAAAATAGAAACCCACCGCTGCACAGCACTGAATAATTCTTGGGGAGTACCACTTAAATCTTTCCTTCTATGTAGAAATGATATAGGAATATTTTGTGTCAGTGCCCCCAGATACAAACCTATAAATTTCAATCTTCTTGATCTTTTGTCTAGACATCTTGGTAGCACTTGCCTCCCCTGCAACAACAATACTGTTATTCTCAGTAACCACACCGGTGTATATACTGCCAATGCCTTCTGCATATTTTGGAGAGGAAATGAAGTAGGTCTTTTGCGTTAGAGGTGCGTAACAGAAGCTGGCCTCGGCATAATTACCTTTCCTTGAACGGATCCCCCCTGAGTTATTGCCAATGCAAAGGAGAAGTGTAGTGGCCTCCATGCCATACCGAAGGCTGAGGGAAGGTTGATTGGATTTTTTAATTGTTTCTAAGGCTCCCTCAATCATCTCAAAACACTTGGAATTACTCAGAAGCACCGTGTTCCTTTTCCGAGCTTCCACTAGGAATGAAGGACTTACAAGTACCAGCCTTACTTGCTTCAGGAGCTCAATGAGGTGATCTGCACGCAACTTCCGACTGTGGTTAACCCATCTGAGGACTAAGTCCAAGATGCTCTCTTCTCTGGATACATTCAGATCGTCAGATCTGATCAGGCTTAGCAGTTGTTGAGCTTCTACCTCTAATATTTCTTCTTGCTGGCTCACCTCAGTAAAGTGCTGATACAAATATTTCCTGGCCCGTTCTGATAGTTCTTCTGCTCCAATGTGTTTTGCAAAATAATAGATCCCTATAGAGTTGGAAGCTTCAATGTGATCCATCATGTAGGTTTGACATTGACTAAACACATCTTCCATCTGCGTAAAAAAGGCAGCAATGGCCACATTTTGAACATTACAATTGGTGAGATGCAATTCAGAGGTGTACATGTAGTGCAGGAGGACAGATACACTTTCAGCTGCTATGTCATGTAGCACAACTTCTCTCTGTGCACATTCCATCAACCCACAAGTAAACATTGCTTTGAAATAGGGGCTAAAAGCAGCCAGGATCAATTTGTGGCAAGGGAATTTTTTTTCTTCAGCCACTAAGACCACATCAATCATTTCAGTTAAATCTTTCATATATTTTATTTGATCCAGTAAATTCAAACTATGCTGCTGTTTCCTTTTACCTACAGCCTTGTAATCCATGATGGAATATATTTTAAAGTATTTTCTGGTGCTTATTATTTTGAAACAGCTATTTCTACATCTGAGAACTCTCAGAATGAAATTCCTTCAACGTTTTATTCCTAGAAAGGAGAAAGAAAAACATATAATTTGCTATATGAACACATATTTAAAATTCTGACAGTCAAATCATATAGTTATGGTCCACAGGCAGTAAATATTTTGAACAAATGCATCAGAAATATATACTAACGTGGCTATACTAGAACATAAAATCCATCCAATGGTTGGAACACTGCCCCAGAGATATGAAATTAAGTTATTTGGATCTCTGTATACCAAATTCCTTGCACCCAGAGATTTATGAAGCCCGTTCTTCCCTCTTGGTATTTTGTGAAGTCATCAAAATAGCAGTGCCTTGTTTTTAATCAGAATGAATGTTTAATAGTGGCCATTAACCTTTTTTAAAAAATTAATTGTATTGTCTTATTTTGTTTTTTAATTTAACATTTTTATTCTATTATATACTACCCAGTGTCTGTGGCTTGGAGTGGGTTACAAAAGCTGTGGAATGAACGAACGAACGAATGAATGAATGAATGACTTTATTTTTCAACTGAACAATTATGAAGAAGGTAGTGTATTTTCTACTATAGAGCTTAATATCAAAGAATATTTTGATTCTTCAGCTGGATTATTTTTAGTATTTCTGCCTAATTTCTAATGGTACTATAACATCTACAATGACATACACAATATTCATTTTATAAATGCTAATAATTCCTGCAATGTTGAATACATTGTAGTGTTTACATAATGTTAAAAGGTTCATAAAAGAAACTGTGCAATCTTTATCCATCAAAATTCTTAGGTACAGTCTAATGTAATTAAATGACACTGTAACTTTCTTTAAACAGTTCAATAAGAATCTTTTGAGAAGCCAATCGCCACTTCTATGCTGTATAGATAGATAAATGTTAATGCTGTTATTTGAGAAATCCATCTGTTAAAATCCCACATTAAGCTTTTCACAAGAACATTTTTCCTCTAGTTAACAATGTTTTCAACAAGAGCATCACTAGATTCCATTCCCCCTCATCAGAGCCTGGTTATGATTCTCAAACCAACTCTTAATGCATAGAAGACTCCCACTGAGATAACATTTTGAATTACTGTAGGTATTCTGGTCTGAAGAAGTCAGCATGGTGTATTGGTTTAGATGCTGAACTAAGAGCAGGAAAACCTGAGTTCTATTCCTCCCTTCGGCATGGAAGCTCATTGTGCACTCCATCTGCAACAAGCCAGCTGGAAAACAAAAACCCTCATTGCATCATGCATTGATAGCTTTGCTGTGAGAACGAGGTAAGCACAATGCAAAAACAAGCAGATGCTGCAACCAAATGGGATAAACACTAAGAACAAAAGTAGCAGGCAACCTGGTTTGACAGAACTGCCTAGGTAGAGCTATGAATCTAACAGGGAACACAAAGGGGAGGCAGGAAAGAACATCATCTCTTCTTGTTAGATCCTAATAGCTTTTCAGAAAGGCTGGATTGGGGATAAGTAAAACATACTATTTTATTCCTGGACATATAGGTTGCCATGGGAGACCAAACACTTGCAAAAGATGTGAGCTCAACTTCCTGCAGAAAGCCTGGATTGTACAGTGTTAAGAACAGTGAGATTCCGATATTGCTTCAGCGCCCCATCCTAAAATACTCCTGGTCACTTGCACCCTGCCCTGCGCATAATCACTTGGGGGGTTCAGTGATCTATTCACTTCAATGATGCAGCCCAAACATTAGAGGACAGAGCTTTCTTCTGCCACAAAACTGGATGTTTTTCACAGTTGCACAATAAAGGTAGTCTTCAATTAATCTGTTCTGAAATTCCAGTCCCATTAAGCATGCTTACCACAAATTTTAAGACACATTATTTGTTAAAGCTGAAGGCCACCCGTGTTAAAGGCTTTTCATTATAAATTTGGTATAGGTTGAGTGACAACTATTGTAGCCATTTTAAAAGGATGGATACATGACTGCATAGCTTACAGTACTCACAATCGTTTAGGAAAATGTCCTCGCCAAGGCTGTTCTGCTGCCAGTGAGTACCCCACAATTTTCCTCTTAGGTTTTCATCTCTGCTCACTAATCAGCAAGCAAAAGACCAGGCTTGAGAAAATGATTTGATGGCTGGGTGGGATGATTTTATTATTTATTTATTTATTCATTCATTCATTTTTTTAAATTTTATTTAGCTTGTCAAACATGTACGAGATAACAGGTATAAGTATAAACATGAAAATAGGAAATGGGTACGAATACATGGGGACAATAGGACAGGGATGGCAGGCACGCTTATGCAAGCCCCCTACCGACCTCTTAGGAGAGGGGTGAGGTCCATGCTATACAGTTTAAGGTTAAGGTTATGGGGGTTTGAGGATGTAACAACAGAGTCGATTAGCACATTCCAGACATTGACAACTCTGTTGCTGAACTCATATTTTCTACAATTAAATTGGGAGCAGTTTACCTTGAGTTTGCATCTATTGTTTGCTCATGTATTATTGAAATACAATGAAGTAGCCATTGACAGGTAGGACGTTGTAGCAGACAATTTTGTGTACTAAACTTAGGTCAGACCTTAATCGGCGTTGTTCTAGGTTGTCCAAGCCCAAAATTTCAAGCCTGGTGGCATAAGGGATTCTATTGTGAGCAACGGAGCGGAGGATTCTTCTCGTGAAATATCTCTGGACTCGCTTGATTGTATTAATGTCTGATATATAGTGTGGATTCCAGGCAGGCAAGCTATATTCGAGAATTGGTCTGGCAAAAGTTTTATATGCTCTAGTTTGCAGTACAATATTACTGGAGAAGAAGCTTCGCAAAATTAAAATGATAGTCACAATGACGATTATACTACATTTTTATATAAATCAAGGCTAATCCTCCTGCCTCCTTTATACTCCCCGACAACAACCTGTGAGGTGGGTTGGGATGAGAGAGAAAGGAATCAGCCCAAAGCCATCCAGCTGCCTAAAAGAAGTCTTACCAGCACCTGGTGCCTAGGTCAGCACCTTCATCACTATACCAAACTGTCTCTCCAGTGGATTGGTTATTCTTGTTACGATTTTAATAAACATATAATTAAAAGACCTGGCAGAACAGGAAAGTCTTAATTATTTCCCTGACAATCGGAACATGCAGAGAGCTAAGGGTAATTTTCAAGGGAGTCTGTTCCACGGCTTGGAGTCTTTCACTTGCGCTGGCAACAAATAGGCCTTTGAAAAGGCTGAAGTGGGCCTTTCTTGTCGATCTGAAGTCTGGGGAGGTTAAAGTTGAGATAGGCCGTCTTGCATAATCGGCTTTGAAGCTATCTTCAGATTTAAAAGTTTAAAACAGGGTAGGTCTTTCAGCACAAAGAGAATATGATCCCTGGATTATGTGACGTGTAAGCAGCCTCTTTGCTGCATTTTTACACCAGATGAAGCTTCTGGACTCTCTTCAGGGATTAACTATGTGGGGAATGCAATTCAGGTAGTTCTAATAATGATATCACTAAGATATAGATGACTATTTTGAAATACTGCAACTATAAGATTTGATGTGCTATTCTATTTATAGGACAGATTAATTTACAAAGATAGTAATTCTAATGGACAGAATAGTAGTACAGTTTTAAAAGGGGGGACTGTGCTTTTGTGATTTGGTAAAATGTGTGAAATCCATGATTAATATCATATCGGAATTAAAATCTCATGTCTGATATTGGTAAAAGATAGCACAAAGTTATGAATATGAAGATGCTTATTCTGTAACATTGTCTAATCCTCAATTACTGGAAACTTGTAGGCTGAATATATGCAAGGTGTTTTTTTTTACAACAATATTGTAAGTACATTGTTTTTATGAATTATTCAATTTAAACAAATGAAACTGAATTAGGAAATTTCATTGTTTTATTTTTATATCGCGTTCTTATATTTCTGTTTATGTTTCTACTTTTAATTACCTACTTAGCATAGCTGTCATTCAATTTTCAAATTTGTGGATATTCTTTCTAACAATACCCATCTGGAAATACCTTTGCAAATATTCCTTTTTTGAAATGCTATGCTTATTGGAAATAGTTGTCTTTAATACTGGAAAGTCAATTAAATATCTTAAATTTTATTAAGGTAGACAATCTAAACATAGAAAGAGTATTTTGCGTTCCAAAGAGTTATCTTTTAATGTTCTTGAATTACAGATTAGTTCTGTAGAGATACAATATTTGCCGCCATTCATTTTTTCATGGTCAGATAGCAGTGGAGACTGCTTTGAGTCCCAAACTACTATGAGATATAATAGGAGTGGATATAACTACAGGTATCCTCTGTGGGGTTTCTCCCATGGTGAAGCCTTCTCTGGAGATCATTGTCTTCATTTTCATGTCTCTCTGGAAGATACTAAAAACCCTGCTATTCTTGAAGTCATTTGGGGATTCATTATGGAATTATTGTTATAATATTATAATGTATAATATTACATATTACATATATACATATATAATATGTAATATTATTGTTAATAATATTAATATTATTGAATTTTACTGTTCGTATCAATATATTTCAAGTCCATTAGTAGATGACTTGCATAAATATAAGTGATTTCCATTTGAAAAAAAATGACAACATTCTGTTAAATATAAATTGATAAGGAATCAGGCTACTGATTTCTAATGAATATTTTAATTTAATTGCATTGTTTATTTCTATGCTTTATCTATGAATAGCATAATAAGTTTGGGCTAATCTATTTTGTTTGTAAGAATGTTGTGGCTGATGAGTCACAAAACAATTTCCAATCCACATGAGCTTTTAAATTTGAAACTTGCAGTCAAAAGCTTAGAATATCCTCTTCTTTTTATAGGCAGCACTTTCAATCCAACTTTGTTCAGTCCAAGCAGAATGAATCAATCCTCATTCATTGTCTCCAGTTTAAACTTCCCAATCACTTACATTCATTGAGATTTCTGAG